GGGGGAGGGAGGCGGACGCGCCAGCGAGGTATGAATGCAACAAATCTGAACAAAAATATGCGACGGAGTTAAACCAAATAACAAATCGGGCAAAGAACAATGAAATTGGTTAATATAATATGTGTTGTGTTTGAAGGTGAAGTGCAACACGGCATACGAAACGGAACAGAGGCGGGCAAGGGACAGACAGACAGACAGACAGACAGACAGACAGACAGACAGACAGACAGACAGACAGACAGACAGACAGACAGGTGACGAGGTGGGGGACAGGACAGGGGGCCAAGTGCTAAGTGATTGCGCCAACTGAACTGACGAAGACAGGCCGTGCGGAGCGCAGGCCGAGCCGCCGCCGCCAACAACGGCAGGGCAATGTCGAGCAAAACACGCTGTGATTTTACATTCAGGATTAATTATCTTCCCTGCGAATGTTATCACCATTAATAATTCTATCCGGTGGCCATCACACTCAACACAGCCGCACAAACGGATGGCCACGAAATTATTTGAATAATAGAAAAAATGCAAATTGAACACCCATGAAACAATCTGGAGCTGAAAGACAGAGGCCCCGTTAAAAGGATACACCTATTGTTTGGTTTAGTTAAACCTTAACCGTCGGCACGTCAAAAAAGAATCATATTCTCATTTTCTTAACAAAATATAATGATATCACAATGCGTCCTCACATGTTGCTAACATCACACCGAGCATCACACGGTTGCGACGCCCGTCCGTGTTTGAGTCTTCGTTAGCGTTAGATGCGGCTCTTAGCGCCCGTTCACAGTTATTAGTATTAATAATGGTAGCGGTCGCACCTGCTCCCGCTGAACCACATCACAATCAACTTATTCGAGTCTGTTTGCGAGGAGCCGGCGGTCCCCGGGCCGAGCGGGGCGAGGAGAGGAGGAGGAGAGGGGGCAGGGGCGTGCAGGCGGGGCGTGCCTATTGTCCAGACAGCAGGTGCCTTTTGCCACGCGCGTAGAGCAACTTCCCCGATGATTATATAATCACAGTGAAAGAAAAAATATGCCGGTAAATATGATACATAGCACTGGCAAACAATACGTAAGTTGTTTAATTTTGCACGTCAGTTGAAGTTTAAGTAAGTCTGAAGTGTGAAAAGTTTAGACACGTTGCGGCGTCGAACTACATTACACACAGGAAACCCAAAGTGTGTGAATATCGCACACTTGTAGGTGTGTGCACGCTATTTGGACACATAGAGGCACAAGTGTGCGAATTTTAAAGCAAAAATCACATTTTTAGCCCCTCAAAATTTACGCTTAATGTTTTTACAGTCAAATCAACATGTAATCATGGTGGCTCATATCGTACCCTCCCTAAACGACCTTGTCAACTTCAAACCACACAAGCTTTAAGAGGAAGTCCTCAGTAAATTTCCAAAAGTTGTCAAAAGCCATGTGCTTCGAAAAATCCCAAGACGAATAAAAATTGTTACGTTCTAATTTAATTTTGAACTATCAGATGATTGACGTCAAAACGTTAAGGGGGGGGCGACGTCGTGTGGAAAACGTCAACGTAGATGATACATTATTTGCTGAGAGTCATGTCATATAGAATTCCAAATTTAACTTTCTTAAATCCTCGTTGCTGGGCATGAGCTTATGTCAAATCAAACACGTCGCCGGCTTACATTGACGTCAAGGCGAGGCGGCGCTGACGTCTCCTGCGCCTTGCTTTACATGGTCCATCAGCTCCACGCACGGCGCTGACGACAGAGGCGAAACAAAATCAATAGCGCCACGGCCTGGAGCGCGCGCTCCAGCAGCCCGCCGAGCTCGTGGAGGCAACCCGGTGGGCGCCGGCGGTGCGCGGGCGTGCCCACCCTCCCGGGCGCGCGGCTTGCCTGGGGCGGCCTGGGGCTGGGGCCCGGGCCCCACACACGCGGCGCACGGGCGCAGACGGCGCGGTGGGCGGGGCGAGCGGGCTCACCGCGGCCAATGGGGGCCGTGCGTTTGGACGGCCAATGGCAGAGGTGCGGCGCACCGCTGTGGCGCGCGCCCCGCAGAGCCGCCGCTCCAGGACAGCTCCAGGCGCTCCTGGAGAAAAGCGACCGAGTGGGCTCCGAGAAAAACCTCCACAGGATGACGTCAGGATGACTCGAAAATTTCTTTCGGATAAGTTCAAAGTTCAGGATAACTGTTCAATGATCTTCCCATTTCTGCGGGAATGTTGACAGGACAGAAAGTCCATCTCTCTTGTCCTTTGAATGTATCTACAAAGCGACTGCATGGTTGGAGGTCCTTTAAATTTATTTTGCTTTGCTCTGGAAATGCATGAGGACAGTTCGTTCTACTCATGCAAGAGTTGGACACGCTTGTCGTACTTTTACAACACATGTGTTGCAGTAGGAATAGGAATACTCTACTTACTCTGCAAGACTAGGCAAAGTGTGTTCTACTCTTTTGTGGGTGTAGGGATTTTTGTCCTCTTATTTCAAGAAAAGGATGAGATGCATGAAAGTGGGGGTCGATGCATGACAGAAGTTGTCTACTTGACGACTCCAGGAGGCGTCTCGTCCGTTCGGAGTCCTGCACTTTATCTTAGGGCTCGTTGCGTTACACTTCTTCTTATCCATCGCCGGGCGCAGGAGCTCCAAAAAGGCGCGACGGCGGCGAGGCGGGAGAGGAGAGAGAGAGGGAGAGGTGGCGCTCGCCTCGCTGCTCCACTCGCCGAGCAAGCACCGCACTGGGAACCATACGGGATATGATCGGGAAGGGCCTGCAGCTCCGCCTGCCCCTCCCTGTGCGTGTGTGTGTGTGTGCGTGTGTGTGTGTGTGTTTATACTCGTAATTAAGTCGTCCCGCCATGCCTTTGAGGCTCGCCGCGCGGGGTCCCGGCCACAGGCCCCGGCGGCTCCAGCGCGCCCCGGCGGCTTGTCCAGCGCGGGGCTTGTTTTCGGCTCCATTAGCCTGTAATGCCGGCCCCCACAATAGAACACGACGGGTTCTCCAGGGGGTTTAGACGGGCCTCTGCTCTCCCGTCTCCAGGAGCCAGCAGGCCCCCAGGAGCCGGGCGGCAGCGCGGGCGCTGGCTGCTGGACAAGGGGCTGCTGCTGTAAGGCCTCAACTGCTTCGGTTCATTCGGTCATGATGGGGCGGCAAGGTGTAAAACAACAGGGGTTGTCTAGGGGGAGAGGAGGGGGAAAAGGGGGGGGGGAGGCGCCAGGCGTCACACCGGCCGGCTCAACGATGATCGTCCTGAAGTAGTGACTCAGACTCGCAGCTTCTCAGAAGCATCTGTCATACTGAGTCCCCCCCATGGAAGAGTTTCTGTAACGTGTGCATGTATGTGTGCATATAAGTCAAGGAAAAAGGGAGGGGGGGAGGTCCATGCAAGGATAATGATAATGCACTGTCGTGGACGAGTTGGAGCAGAAAATAACTCAATGCCAAATATGCACATGGTCACCGTCATCGCCTGTGTAGCCCGAGCATTACAAACCCGCTGTTTGAAGACTACTTGCAGATTGCAACATTAGCTGGGGATGTACGTCGTATACTCATGCGCCTCCGAGTTTTTGACTAAGAGTAAAAGTGTGCTTAATACACAAAGGGAAGACGCAGCTTCGTTCAGTAATATGAGAAGAAAAATCAAAACATATTGTAGAAACTTCGATTTTTTGAATTTGGAATCAGCCGCATGGTCGAGCCGATGCTGGAGGGGTTGGGGGGCATGGGGCAAGATGGCGACGGTGAGGCGGTGAGGTGCTCTACGGCCCACCGGCCAGGTGAGAGAGGAGGGGGAGAGGAGGAGGGGGCGGCCTGCCTCCCCGACCCGGCCGCCTCCACCAGTCCGTCTCTCGCCGCGACCCGCACCGGAGGCACCTGTGTGCTCAGTGTTCAGCCCTCCGCCGGGCTACGTCGCGTCGCTATGCCTTGTGTGCAGTGAGTCAGTGCAACAAGTGGATAAAGTGCTGTGAGTGTGAGAGTGTGCTGCTGCGCCAGTGGATAACGGACTTACGCCCCAAGCAGCCCGACTCGGTGGTGCATTCCACCCTGGGGCTCCTCGTGCCCGCCGTGGCTTCCCTCGAGTGGACAGCGGCTTCAAGGTGAGCAATTTATGGAATGAAAATGATGATCCAGCAAGAGAGTAAAAGTACAACCAGTGGGGGAAATAAGTTTCAGGGGAAAAAATGATGTTCATCGATAGGTGTCACAACTACCCTTAAGTCGAGTTACGCTCAGAGTTGCGGATTATTCAAAAGTATGTCAAAATGCAATTGCCATAACGTCAACGGCGATATTTTGACCAGTATACATATTTTTTAAATCGATTCAATACCTCATTTTGCACGCGCCAGCAGCTGTTTTGCCTGACCAAATAAAAGGTGCCCCCACACTGAACGTGTCCGCCCATTGTCCGCCCCTGTCCGCTCGGTCAGATGTCCGCAACTATGGACTTGCCCTTGGCAGAAACGTCCAGGAAACCGAACATATGTGGTATCCTGGACGTTCTACAAAGTGCAAGTCCATAGTTGCGGACATCTGACCGAGCGGACAGGGGCGGACATGGGCGGACACGTTCAGTGTGGGGGCACCTTAACTTGCACGAACGTCTACAAGAAAAAAGGACCGCTTGGCTTGCAAATGGTATGGAAATGAACCGAATTTGTCCTTCGGAAGCTCGCACGAGAGAGGCGAAAAAACAGGGGTGAAGAAGCGGTGGTTATCTTGGGGGGAAATATGACGCGAGGTGAAGGTTTACGGTACGGGCATGATCCTTGATACGAAAGCCTTTGATTCACACCTCCCTGCCCGCTGAAAACACGCACACTCGCGCACGGACACATACCCACATGACCGGCATGCAGCACTGCGAGCAACATCCACCATTTAAGGCAAAGCGTCTGAGAGATGATTATTAAAGGCCCCAAAACATAGTGCTCCCCCTAGCGGCGTTTCCCCGACTGCGTCGCGTTCATCGGGGTTCACCCGGGTCAATGGCCAGGCCAGGCGATTCAGGTCGCGATCGCAGTCCTTATCAGCTGTTAAGTTAAACATTGTGAATCCACAAACAAGGATAAGGGGGTGGGGGTGGGGGGGACGGGAGGAGCGGGGAGGGGAGAGCAAAAGATGGACGGGGGAGTGCGGTGCGTTTGATGAAGTGCAAAACACACCAACACCAACACACCGCAAAAATGACCTCACACACGAAAAAAAAAAAAAAGAATTAGTTGTCACAACTAATTTATTAGCTAATTTTGGGATAGACAAGATATTCGCTGTGGCAGCTAACAGTTGGATGCCACAGACAAGAGTTTGTTGCCACAGCGAAGCTGTCACTGCTGGAGCCAATCGGTTCGTTCTGACAGCGAAACACCCAACGCCCAAACGAACCGATTGGCTCCTGCAGCAACAGCTTTGCTGTGGCAACTAACTCTTGTCTGTGGCAACCAACTTTTAGCTGCCACGACGAATTTGGGATTAGCTATCCCATCTTTTTTCCGTGCAGTAACCACAGCACTAGCACTACCTCACGTTTAGTTTCTCGTTGGAGGTGGCGGCGCTCCACTTTTTGCATGATCCAAGTGGATCCAAGCGCCAACACGCCGCGAGCGAGCCGAGGGCGGCGCGGTCGGCTTCAAAGAGGCCCACCCACCCTATGGGGGCCTGCGCCTGGCTGTGCCGCGGCCGGTCAATGAACACCGCGCAGCTTCAGCCACCTCTACCTCCTCGTACCTACCCCTCTACCTGGGCGCGGCGGCCCGGCGCAGCCCTTGGGCGCAGCCCGGCGTGTCGTGGCAGCGAGATGATAGCGCCGCTCATTGTCGGTGTCGGCTCCCTTTCCTCCGCCAGGTCGGTCGCCGCCGACGATGAGGCCGCCCCAATAAAACAAGGCATCCTCCTCCACCTCCTCCGCCGCCGCCGCCGCCGCCGCCACGTCACGCCGCTCCATGCCGCCACGGCCGCAACGCCGAAAACACATGCAAAACTCAATAAAGTAATGCGGGCCTTTCCTGGAAAAGGGAGAAGGGGAAAGGTACAAACAACACGTTTGGAGGGGATGAGAAACCGTGAGGAAGGGGTAAAGTGCGCAGAGAGACGGCGGACGCCGCAACACAGCCACGTGCACGTCGCAAAACAAGCAGTGACGGATGTAAAAAAATAATTCGCAGCTAACATATTTGCTGGTACGAATTTGAACAGGTCTCCTAATATGTGACCATAATGTGATCATGGTTTGCTGGTTTTCCTAACCCCTCAAACGAGCCACTGAGCGTGTTAAACTTGTCTGTCCACCATCGAATATTAATTCATTGTACAAACGAATTATTTCTTCGTGCAGTGCCGCCGCACTGAAACTCCTCTCTGGGCCTGACTGTGGGCCTCTGGGCCTGTCTTCTAAAAATGTCGTGAAGTGTCAAATGTCACCCCAACGGGACGGGCACAATGTGATGAAACACTAGTTTAATAATTTTGATTCGTTGGAATATTGGCATTCGTTTATCAAAATGCACACTCACGCAGTTTCCTAACTTTTTCCGTTCTGTCCAGGATGGCGCAGTCCCACATCCTGTCCGCCATGGAGTCCGAGCTGTCCGCCGGCCGGGGGAAGGCCGACCCTACGGAGCGGGACCTACAGGTGTCGCTAGACGACCGGGAACTGTGGCTGCGGTTCCACGGCCTCACCAACGAGATGATCGTCACTAAGAACGGCAGGTGAGGTCGATAAGCAGCCCGACTAAGCAGTGGTTGGCGTCTTTTAACGATATTTGGCGTTCTTTGGAGGGTGCCAATAATTTGGCGTTCAAAGATGCCAACCAGTTTACAGACAGCGATGTCAACAACAAAGTTCCAGATGGGCTCATGCATCGGTCCATGCAGTTATTTTTGTAGTTTACAAAACTGATAAACTAATTGCGCAACTGCTCAACACTTGTAAGTGTGCAACTACAAGTTGAATACTAGCAGGTGTGCAACTTTGTAGCTGTACACTTGCAAGTGCTCAACTCGGTAGGTGTGAACTTCCTTAGATTGAACGCTCACTGTGTAGGAAGTGCTCAATAGAGGAGTTTCGCACTTACAAGTGCACTTTACTAAGTAGAACACTTGCAAAAGTGTACATGTACACTTAACTATGGAGTTGAACACTTGCAAGTATTTAACTTGCAGTTGCACACTTAGTTTATCAGTGTTTATCGGATGCGTTCGTGCAGTGCGGTTTTGCCTACTCCCACTTATGACTACATACCTGCATGTGGAACAATCCCAGGTGGAAAACAAAAGTAAAATCGCCGTGAATGATCCTCGCTCGACACCAAAATGAGCTCAACATGGCTATCTTGCCTAAGAAAATTTTGACGGTGAGCGTCAAAATGAGGCCGTTTTGACATTACTTTGACAAACGTGTTCCACCTGGGACTGAACCGTGTGACGGTGCGGTGGCACAAAGACACCCTGAACCGGGTGCCTACTACCTCTGCCTGTTGCCCTGCTGTTGCCTGTCAGGCGCCCGTGGCCCCTGTGGGTAAGCAAACTCGCTAACTCGCTCACAACGGGTCTTGCACCGAAACATCCGGTACTTGGTTCTTTGATGTTGTCGATTGACATCATGATTTTGAGACGGATAGCAAACTCAGCGGTAAAGCAATAAAGCAGTCATGTTATATTCTAGTTATGCGTAAAAACAAGAGTATCATACAGTAGTATTTCGTGCTGCCGACGGTCTGAACGACAGCACGGACAGAGTCTTGGCATACGGAGCAGCACACGCTTCGGTGTGTCGAGGGCTGCCCCACCCGCCGCCGCCGCGTCGCTTCGATATGTCGTCTCCCGTCGGCCATGTTTGTCCCGCCCGACCAACCAGAGAGCGTCGGTATAAAAATACATGAGCTGTTTGTAGAAAACAGAGATGCGGGTCCGACAAAAAATACCGTCTTGGGAGAGGACTGCTGCGCCCGGCTGCGGCGCGCGGGGCCAGAGGCTCGGCTCCGGTCGGCCCGGCGGCGAGGAGAGGCGGAGGTGCTGCGACTGTTGTTGACTTACGCTGAGCGCCTCCTGGAATGTCCTGCCATGGTCGTGCTGCCCGCCGCACCGGCCGCACTATGCTTCGCCTTCCCAGACACGTCCTCCTGGAAATGCAGAGGAATATACGTACCATTAAATAATCTATTGTATGTTCACCGCATGGGGGTGTACAAAGTCCTGGTTCCTGGCTGGGAGAAAGCACTTCGTCACACAACTGACTGAGCCAAAGTGTTTTGGGCCGCAGGCGCGCGACCGCCCCAGTTGCGGAGCCCTTTTTCGGGACAAGCGGACGGGCTGTCATTTGTGGATCAAATGATACCAGTGCCTCGGAAAATGATTTGGCTGGAAAATTACATGACGCGAACAGGACAGGAAGGTCCTGTCATAACAGAGATGTAGAGAAGGGAGATGGGGGGGGGGGGGGGAGGGGCGCCTGGACCGAAGAGGTCACGGGAGGAGGGAGAGGGGAAGAGAGAGTGAGTGAGACAGAGGCAAGTGTTTGCTTGGCACCCGTTACATCTCAACTCAGCGTGCCGACAGCCGGACAGACTTTTATGAGGCCCCCCCCCGCCGCATCGCCCCGCCTTTATGGTGGCCGGCCTCGAGGAGCGGATGTGTCCCTGTGTGAGCGACGGCCCGACAGCCTATGTGCGGACACGCGCCGATATTCAAATGATTCATCACACACAAAAAATATATAAAATGGTACAAAGAAAGATTCGGATTGTACAAAAGTTCCCGCGCTCCTCGGCGCTAGCGGCGCTAGCGGTGCTGCCTGCTGCGGCAGCCGTGGGGGTTGGAGCGTGCAGCGGGCCGGGCGGCGGGCGGGCCGCGCGCCACACACGGCTGCGCCCGCACGGCCTACCTCCCGGGCGCCCCTACGCCGCGCGTGCAGGTCGCCGCCTCAGCGAGCAGAAAGCACGCGGAAACGAAGGGAAGCCTGCACCAGTTGGATTTTCCCCAGTTTTCCTCACAATGCAGTTAGTTTGTCTCATCGGGGCTCAATAAGAAATGGTAAACAAGGCGGACCGCGGGCGACTTTGTCGATCATGGCGGCGTCCATTTGGCGGGGCCTTTCTGATGAGAAAGAACAACATTTTTAAGGGGGCCTCCCCTCTTCCCCTCTCTCTGGTCAGCATCCACCTGGCACACGGCGCCACGCGACTGATGGACGTGAGACATTTAGCACGGCCGTGTCAGTCAACACGCCTATCGGCCCGTCAGCCCGCGGCCCGCGGCGTCGAGTAGTAGGGCGATCGGATATGTATCGATAGTATCGATACAGTCGAACGGCAAAGGCTGGACCAGAGTCGCGGCGCCCCCTTTCCACCCGGGCGCGCCCTGCCCGCCCCTGCCGCGGCGGGGACCCAACACCGCACTGTGTGTTGTCTCGGAACACGGCCAGTTTCGTGATGGCCGCCGTGCCGTCAGCTTACCTGCGAGCGTGTGAGTGTGTCTATGTGAGTTTGCTCACACAAAACCTTTTTTCTTCATCTCTCCCCGCTGTCCGTCTGTCCGTGTTTTTCCCTTGTTTCCTCCCTCCCCCTCATCGTCGTCGTCGTCGCCCCTTCCTCCTCCTCCTCCTCTGTCGTCACTGTTGACTTTCTCGACAGCGATCCAGCGTCCTCGTCTCGGCCCCCGCCACCGTCCTGGTCCAGCCCCCCCATCCCCTCCTCTCCGCGCACCGCCGCGTTAAACGCTTGTATAGCTTGCGTGTTCTCACCGCGCGGCCAATTGCATCGCACACCATCGTAAATAATAACTGGAGTACGCACAGCTCCGCTCAGCGCAGCCGCGGGTAGTTGTGAATGAATCACTCACACCCCTCCATTCATACGCGCGCGCCGGCGGCAGCACTATGCGACACATAACGAGGAATAGACCTTTTTTCGCCCATAATCGCATAAATCTCTATCGCAAAATTGTAATTTGGGCAAATTTTTAAAAAGTAAAACATTCTACTTGCGGTGTTGCCACATTGTGGGCGAAAAGGTCTATTGTTGGAATTCACTACGATCCTCGCGGCACGATCGGCATGTGTAAATGGCTCCAAGTTTCTGTTACAGTAAAAACTGTTGAAAACGAATCGCCCCTGTTTCCTCTGAGAACTCGTTATAGCAGGCGGCTGATTAGCCCAGCGCACTTCTTCTATAGTTATACTAAAGGTACCACGCGTAGGAGTGCGGACGGGTCTCGCCTGTCACCCCTGACCACAGTGCCTTACGGGACGGGCCAAACGAGTAGGCAACCCGCCCGCACGTTGGAATGCGGAACTTCAGAAAGTACTCGGGTTTAGTCAGCCAACCGGTGGCGATACAGTACAAAATACTTCCCCGCCAAAAAGAGACCACGCTGCGAGAGCACACATCACAGCAGTTGGGCAGAGCGAGCGCTCAGCGCACTCAAAGAGAGGAGCGATGCCTTCGCAAAGGACGGACAGTGGGAGGCTATGGGCTGTGCATAGACGCGCATACGGAGCGCCGCGCCGGCCAGCCCCGCCCTGACCGCCTTCCTCTCCTATGAGAACCGCGAGGCGCCGAGTTTCCCAAACGGCGGCGCGGGCCACTGGTCACGGCGGGACGGGCCTTACCGGCCGCGGGCCGCTCCCACAGCACAGACTCTGTTGCACAGTCGGGCGCACGCACGCTGCACGCCAACCGCCCGGCCGCCGCAGACTCAGCTTTCACTGATCCGAGTGTCGAGCCGGCCAGCACGGAGGCGAGGCAACTCCGAGCACTTCCCACACCCCATGCATGGCCCTTTCAGTAAACAGTCGCATTCCTCTCCTCGGGCCTCCTGCTGCTGGACTCTCAGCTCCACCCAGCTCATCAGCTCGCATCTTCAACTCATCTCCATTTTTACGTTTTGGTTTTTCTGTTGTTTTCCCCCAGGCGGATGTTCCCGGTCGTGAAGGTGTCCGTGTCCGGACTGGACGCGACGGCCATGTACTCAGTTCTCCTCGAATTCGTTCAGATTGAACAGCACAGGTGAGAATAATTTTAAAACATCGATAATGGAACTATGAAACAGTTCATATACTTTTTACTTTATTTTTATTTGCCATTGGAACGAAATGTGATAAAATTTTAAATTGTTTTTGTTCGCAGGTGGAAATACGTGAACGGAGAGTGGGTGCCTGGCGGCAAGGCCGAGGCGCCGCCGCCCAACCCCATCTACATCCACCCCGAGTCACCCAACTTCGGCGCCCACTGGATGAAGGAGCCCGTCAGCTTCGCCAAAGTCAAGCTCACCAACAAGACCAACGGCAACGGCCAGATCATGCTCAACTCGCTGCACAAGTACGAGCCGCGGGTGCACCTCGTGAAGGTCGGCACCGACCAGAGGCGGGTGCTCACCTATCCGTTCCCCGAGACTCAGTTCGTGGCCGTGACGGCCTATCAGAACGAGGAGGTAACGACAACTACTCCTTCTCCATAACCAACCCGTCACCAAGCTTACATAATGAACTAACTAAAACTACTAATCATAAGTCAATTCCCCTTCTAATTCATCTTCCGTTCCTTTCACAGGTGACCTCATTGAAAATCAAGTACAACCCTTTCGCCAAGGCGTTTCTCGACGCCAAGGACCGACCCGAGGGCATCTACCAGCGGGACTACGTGAGCACGAGCCTGCCTAGCACCATGGCGAGCACCGTCCCGACCTCGCAGGCCTACACACAATGTAAGCACAGTAGGCGATTGGCCGCGACGGGCACCACTCCGGTCGCTGCAACTTAGTGCGCAGCAGCGTGTATTACCAGACATGACGAGTGATCGGCGCGTCGGGGCGCGCAGGAGTGAGCTGGGCCAGGCGCACAACAAGTGTGTCGAATGGGTGGCCTACCCCGCGGGCGTCCACAGTGTCCACGGTCGCCCAGCCACAGAAGCCAGTCGACGGCGCTTACAGTCTCCTTTGTCTTGACGTTACAGACAGCGGGCTGCCGATCCGTTGCACCACCTCCTACCACTCGGACAAGTACACGGCGCCCAGCTCCCCGGCGACGGCGGCCAGGTCGTACCGGACGTCGCCGTACCCGACGCTCAGCCACCAATCCTCGCCTTCGCACGACCAGCACCAGCAGCCCGGCATGCACGAGGCAGCGACGCCGCACCACCACCACATCCTCTCCATCAAGGACTCCCCCATCCACTCACCAGCGCCGTCACCTGCGCTGACAGGTAAGTAACGTCGGCCGGGAAGGCCCCCTGAGGTTACCCATTTCCATGCCAACGCACTGACTGGGCCCTCTGCGCGACAGGCTACGCGGACAGCGGTTTCTACGGCTCGCCGTACAGCTGGCACTCGTCCCTGGGCTGGAGCGCGTCCCCGCCGCCCGCCACGGCACAGGCCGTGCTCCCGCTGCCCACCCCGCCGTCCAGGTCGACGCCGCCCGCCGTGGACGGCACGGGCACGCCGCCCCTGGTCACGCCCCTCCCCATGCAGCCGTCGCCGCCCTCGTCGGTGCAGACGCTGCAGCCGCTCTCGTCGCTGTCGCACCCGTCCGTCATCACCTGCCAGCCGCCCAGCTGCTCGCCGACGGCCTTCACCACCTGGCAGCACCTCTCCCCGACGCACAGCACAGGTCAGTTGGTCCGCCCCCAAGCGGCTGGGTGATGGGAAGGGTTGCGGCACCGAGACCAACACCAACATGGCCTTGCAGGGTGTCCTACTCTCCACTCCACACCCTCCTTTGTAGCTCCAGTAGCTCTCGTCCAATCAGCGAGCAGTGGCAGGTCAGGTACTTACTTACACAGATGGCCAGAGTACAGTATCACCCTGATGACAACCCCCTACTATAAATAGCGTGAGACTTCACATTAGTTATTTGTTCATGACCAAATATGTCATGTTAAAATCTGTACCAGACAACCTGTCAAGGTATTTTACTGCTGAAGAAATACATACCTTTTTGTTGTTTGGCATCAATATTTTAGTGTTGGAATGTCATACTACACTGCATTTGTGCTCTCACTCACAAATTAAGTTCCTAACGGGGAACAGAGGGGAAGGCGACATGCATGGTCATCAATAACAAGCTGAAAATATCGAAACAACATTTAAAAGTTTTGGATATTTTCTCATGTTAACTCAATATTCCCGATACCAGGAATAGGCCTCATTGACAAATACAAATTTTGTTTCATTTTAAAGCAATTTCTGGCAATAATTTTTCCACTACGATTATGATAATGGACAAACCAACTCTCAAGCAAAACCACAAATTCACTAATAGTAGTGCTGGTTTTCTCAATGGGTTTCATTAAATTCATGACTTTCTGACTATTAATATTCATTTCAAATGTGTTGACCTGAAAAACCACTAATGATTGAGGAAAAGAAAGTGATTTGGTACAAGCCCAAGGTCGTCTTGAAATTATACAAAACCTCAAATTCTGAATTAGATTGTTTTAGTTGGATCTACCTGGAAGATTTCCATAATTTTAAACTGAGATTTTGTATACTAATTCACATTTACTTTGCTTTCAGAGCTCCAGTATCTACAGTATCCAGTGCAGTCCGAATACATTCCATTGTTTCCTCCAGACTACCAAGATATGCCCTTACAACCCACATACCACTACCACCCAGGTCTTCCAGATGAAAAGGGAGATGAAAACCACAACAGCGAAACTCACCACGACACAGTTTCACACCACCAAGCATCTCCAGCCCGAGCAGACTGCTGGGGGAAGTCATCACCCTCTCATTCTACTCTCTAGTTCAGAAGAGATTATTGTAATAAGCAAAACAACTGCAGTTCATTGAAAACTAAATTGTGATAGAGAAGCATTGTAATAATTAAGGTCAACCTGTACAAAGTTGTATTTAAATTGGTTGTGTATAGAACTAAAAAGTTTTGCTGTATACAAAAAACAAAAAAACAAAAAAAGTGTTCAGAACTTGTACTTTCCTTACCTAAGTTATGTCATAGTGTAAATGACTTTTCAAATCCTGAATGAAGAATTTTGTAATATAAGTATCAATTAAAATCAAATATATAGTTCTTTTCTGTTCTGAAAGCAGTCACTAAATAGAGGTAGAAAACTAGTTGATAACTAGTAGTTATGATCTCTTTCTTACTGCTATGCGTAATGTATCAAGTCTTGAAGGCAGACTGTTATTGTATATGTGTAAAATCCATTATAAATATGAACTCTCACGCCAAACTTAGATTTATTATAAGGTGACAATGCCATGAAGGCATGTGTAAATACAGCAATAAATTGTGTGAAAAATAACATCCACCACAAAAGTGACCATGTCTTATTCTTGGGCACTTTTTATACACCTTAAAAGTAATTAAAATGGATTGTCTAATAATGAAGATAAATTCCATGTATAATACGTAAAGGGGCATCGGGAAAATTCCAAAAACTGTGTTAAATCATCATCTTTATTCGTCATCTACAAAGGCTTCCATTTCAGCCATCATACAAAGCTTTAATAAAATTCCATTAAAATTCCATCATCAAACCAATACCCGCACAGACAACGCCAAGCACACTTGTCTCACAAGTTAAATGGCAATAACAGTTTGAAATACAGTTTTAAAAAAGGAAGAAAAAATTTACAAAATTATGAAGCTAAGAAAATTATAAAAAAGAAATATTCAGGCCACTCCATAACATTTGGAAGGGTCACAGTGACAAGGAGTAGAAATAGCAATTTGGTTAGTCAGTCTATTGTACGACAGCCTCTCAGCATTACAACGCTAAAAGGAAAGTTACTGTAATATTTAACAGTTAAATAACCTTCAATTACCTCAGCTCTATCACATTGAACATGAAATAAAAACAAAACTAAGCAAGCTGCAATCCTCGAAAAATTCCTCACGTCTCCCAAATATAACATAACTTATAAGAAATGTGAAAAAATAAATGCATTGTTTTTCCAACCAACTCTCACGCCATTAACACTCCTTCCCTACCAATAACACCACAAAAAAATTGACACAGCGTCTACATGAAAAAGTTAGATGATGCAGATGCTAATACAA